TTTGGAGGATCCCTCTCCAGCTTTCTGCAGGGGTTCCACAGAAAAAAAATGTGGAGATATTTCTATTAACCAAATGCCAGAACAGCTCTTGTTCTGGCATTTTCTTTCATACTGAAAACAAACGTGATATAAGCGTGATTTGTACTCTTTGCTCGTAACAGGCGAACATATTCAAAAACAGTCAATCTGAGACAAAGTCATGCTCAAACCCTTTATAACCTATCCTGAAAAAAAAAGTTATACCTTTAACTTGTGTATTTTGAGGAGAAAAGCTCACAAGTCATTCAGTTTCTTCTTAAACTATGGTTCCACTGTGAAATGAGATCTACATCTTTTTTTTGAGGGCAGAATTTAAACCATGTAAAGTCAAAGTAACAGAACAGCCAGTTAGATTTCTTAATATATGTAACGGGTGGCCAAACATTGGCTCATGAGCTCTTTTACAGTTAATGTGCAGCTCGCAGAGCACCCACACCTCCACATTCTCCACCTACCAGACTGGGGGAGAGGGGAAGATCGGGACCTCTGCCTTGCAGCAGGATGGTAGGGTAGGGGCTTCTGCCCAGCGGGGTAGGGGGTCTCGGGGCTTCAGCCCCATGCAGTGCACCTACCGGGGGGCTTGGGTCTTCAGCAGGAGCAGGGCTGAAGCCCAGAGTCCTGGCAGCTGTGCCCCAGCTCTCAAACTTTTGAAGATCGTCATATGTGGCTCGGAGGATCAGTAAGTTTGGCCACCCCTGAGATATGTCAATGCCAGAAATGAGACACATCATAACTCTGATATCAAGAAGTTAAGGACAAAAACTTCCATTTTGCATCTTCCTGCCCCATGTCCTATCACTTTTTACATTTATTTAATCAATCTTCTGTTAGGACAGAATCTTACATTTGAGAATGGAAATGAAAAATTCATTATCTAGAACCAGTACCTCTGGAATGATCAACAGGGAGATATACTTAGGTGCCAATTCAACAACTTGAGAGGCAGAATAATAATCAAAAGCATGGCATCAGAGGGCGTAGGAAAGAAGCCAAGAAAAAAAAAGAGGTCAGTGAGGCCAGGTCACTGGTTAGTAATTATACTTGCTCAATATGGCAACTATACAAAAATACTAATTCACACAAGAGTTACCTGCATGGTTAAGAGGAGAATTTCCCATACAACATCAATATATTGAAGTATGCTCTAAATTTGCCAGATTAAAAAAATCCTGAAAACCAGAAACACTGCAAATGTCTCTTTATTTTGCATAACTTCTAACGTGAATGGATACATCAATCATGATTCCAAGACAGCGATCACAATGTAATGTTATTTCCAAAAAGAAACAAAACCTAGTCTCCTCATTTCTTTTCTAGTTTTATTACAGCACCTTTTTCTAATGCCCATTCTGTTAACCATGCTTTAACTTCAAAGACAGATGAAAACCTGACAATGGTAGTCACTCTGGGTGCACTGATTTTGAACAAAAGGTGACAGGTCTGGAAGAGAATCTGGGTCACTGATCCAGCCCTTTGCAAGACAAGGATTTTTGTCTACATAAATTTCCTCAGTTTAAAACTCTCCCTCAACTCAATGCTAAACTCATGTTGATTAAAAAATGGCACTGTAAATTAGCAGCAGAAAAAGGAAACAAGAAATTTTTTTAAGATTTTCAATTGCTGAGTGAGCGTCTGCTCCTAATCAAAGAGTTGTTTTGTTGCTGTTTTGCCAGTGCAATGCCCTTTTCTGTAAAAAAAAACATGAGCAAATAACCAATATCTGAGAAGATAAGCGCTTGACTGTCAATTTCAGCTGCTGAATGATAGCTCCAAACTGAAAGGGCCATTTTACAGGTCTTGTGTGCACACACTACAGCTGCTAAAAAAATGAAAACAAAATTACCAAAAAAATTTAAGTTATTTCCATTTAGTTCAAAACAAACTTATTTGTTTTTTGTTTTTTTATAAACTTATTGAAATCATTCTGGTAAATAGTTTTTGAGACTGGTTTTGTTGGTATCTTAATTGTGGTTGTAAATTTTACTTGAAAAAGCTTTAATCAAACACATAATAAAGAACTATGAAGCAGAAGGCAGAGTCTCTGGTACACAAACTGTGTTTATAGCAAGAGCCATATAGGCACTGAAAACTGAAGCAATTCAAATGGTCTCTTAGGAGAGGGTGCTGCAGTATCTGGAACTAGTTCTGGGAGATCTCTGATCTTGTTGGAGAGGTGAAGGATTAGTACAGAGCAGGCATTCTTCCTTTAAAAAAAAAAAAATTCTCCAATGTTCTATGTTTTTCTTTTAGACTATAAGTTCTTCGGAGCGGGGATTGACTTGGTCTTCTGTACAGCACTAAGAATATTTTTAGACTAAGCAAGCTAACACATGCTAAATGTGAGTAATATATATTATACACATATAATTGTATACTGAATGGTTGCCAGAAACCCAAAGGATGTTAGTATTAATATTAATGAGGCTCTTCTTCTTTAGTAGGTCCCATGAAATTCACACCTGCTCACAGATCACAAGCTTCCATGCTGCATGCTGACCTTTTACAGACTAGAGACTACAGGAGTAGAAGCATGTCTTGATTTGTTTCTCCATAATATTACATATTTCAGGATATTTAATGTTCTTAATTCCTACTCCACTTACAAACAAATTTAGGAACCTGCAAAGTATTTTTAAAACATCAGACTTGCCTTATCCCTTTAGGCTGGCTCCAGTCTCCAGCAGATAGAATGATTAGGAAATATAATTTCACAGCTTGTAGTGGCATGTATGTAGTTCTACCATAAAAGCAGAAATCTCTGAATTGTTTATAAAGCTACAAGATGTTTTTCAGTAGAAAGTATCTGCTGAAAACAACTTGTAAAGACAATTGTTGATCATCCCATTCGGAACGAATGTCCAGCAACAACTATATTATACTGCATAATTCTAAGTTAAGGGTTAATGCATGTTTGTCAATAAAAATAAAATATCATAGGAAGAGTAGACTAGTACTTCTACTTTCTCAAGACTATAAATAGGACTACCATGAGCAGACGTTGGCAACTTCCAAACATTTAAAGAAGTTAGCTTGTCCATGAAGTACTCTGATGTCCTTGGATAGAGAAGATTATATAAAATAAAAGGAAGGTCTTGTAGAGAAGACTCTAAACTAGTAGACTAATAAGTCCAAGTTCTCCTCTTAACTCTGCCATACATTCCTTGTATAACTTTGGGTAAGTAACTTCATCTTTCTGTACCTCAGTTTCATCATTTGTAAAGTGAAGTTAACGCTTCTCAACGCTACAGTTCTGCGGAGGCTAAATTAGCATTCATCCATCCAAAGATTACAGGCGCTTTGCTGATGTTACATGAATTCCAAGATATTATCAGTTTATTAGAAAAGAAAAACCTTTCAGACAAATACTGAAGTTTCAAGTAAGCTCATCATTTTGTATGTATAACCTAGCCCCACTACCCTCTCCCTTATTTCTTCTTTTGTTGCTATGTCATCTCTTTAATTATACAGGTATCTGTCACAGCTTCATAGTTAAAGTTAAGTGCAAAACTCAAAGCAGGATTCAACCTCTGGCTACAAGTTAGGTGTGATTCCCAGCTCAAATACCCATATTCACACTAACTCTCATCTGAATGTGCTACACTACTCTTTTTAGCATGCTAGCTCAGATGAGAGCTACCACACAAGTGTGAAGATGTAGCCATTGTTTGGTATGAAGTTGGTTAAATTTGCATCTTCCTGAAAATGACATCACATATACTTTTCAGGACTGAATGGATTTTCTGAGAATTTACATATAAATCTGTTAAGCAGTGTGTCAAAAATATTAAAAAGTCCTTTCATGAATTCAATACCTGGTGTCAATGCATTTTTTGTCTCAAAATAATCTCAGCTCAGGTATTTATGGGAGATAACTGACCCACTCTACTGAGCACCAGTGAGGCCTTAGCTGAAGCACTGCATCCAGGTCTGGGAGTCAAATTTATGAACAAATTGGAAAGAGTCCAAAACAAAAGTTGATGTTAGTTTTTCTAAACTTTTCTTTTCTCATAGCTATAAAAGATTGTTCATGTTTAGTCTTCAGAAAAAAAGACTGATGGGGACCTGACGGTCCTCAAATAGGTTAAGAGCTGTTATAAAAAGGATGGTGATCAACTGATCTCTATGTCCACTGAACGTAGGACAAGCAATAATCAGCTTTATCTTCAGCAAGGGAGATTTAGGTTACATATTACAAAAAACTTTCTAACTATAAGGATAGTTATGCTCTGGAATAGGCTTCCAAAGGAGGTTGTGAAATCCCCATCACTGGAGGTTTTTAAGAACAGGTTGGACAAACACCTGCTGCCAGGGATGGTTTAGGTTTTCTTGGTCCTGCCACAGAACAGGTGGCTGGATTAGATGACCTCTCAAGGTCCCTTCCAGCCCCACATTTCTATGATTTAGAAGGTAAGCTCTTTGGACTCGCATACACTAGTTTCTTTCCCTACGGTTTCCAGCCACTGCTACCAGCAATACCCCTCTACTGGAAGTCACAGTGGCTGCAATCACTAGTATTTTACCTAAATCATCTAGATCTCCTTGAATCATGATTACACAACACAATGGATTAAAAACCAGGGACTAGCATGAGTGCTGCCAGGGTGGCGGGGACTCCCTTATTTGGCGCTTTTCTTTTGAAGGGGGAAAGCTCCTGGCACTCTGGGCGCTGAACGTTTCCGCTCCGGGACGTTCAGCCCCGTGCCTTGGCCGCGGGCCGCCCAGCAGCCGGGTGACAGCACAGCTGGGAGCACTCAGGAGGCGGGGGGCGGGGTTGCTGGGGCTGGCACAGCAGGCCCGCCGCGCAGGCTGGGGACGGATCGCGGCTGCTGAGCCGCGGGGAGGCAGGGACCGCGGCGCTGAGGTTGCAGCAGGGCCAATTAGAGCGATGGAGGAGAGCAGCGTGACCGCATATGTAACCCGAGGTTTACGCGCGGCCGCCCGGCCCCGGCCCGCTCACTCACCGCCACCTGTTGATGCCCACGTTGGAGGAGCCCGCGAACCAGGGGTCGAGGATGTAGACGCAGCGCACGCTGTCGGCGCCCTGGATGCACTCCCGCAGCGCCGGGTTGTCGTGGAGCCGCAGCCCCTTGCGGAACCAGTGCACGGCGTTCACCCCCATGGCCGGAGGCGCGATCCCTGGCGGAGCGCCGGGCTCAGGAAGAGCCGCCGCGGCTCATGCCGGACTCGGCTTCGTCTCTCCCGTGCAGCCCCAAAGCGGTGCGAACCCCGGCCGCGCCGCGGCAGCGGGTGTGACACTGAGAGGTGAAGCTGCTGCTGCCGGGTCGCTCCCTCTGCTTGGCGATCGTCCGTTGGCGCTAGGACCCCGCGGAGGCGACAGCAGGACCGGCTGTCTGAGGGGGACACATCACCCCGAAACCTTCGCGCCAGGGGTCTCGCGCCCACGCCGAGAGGCCGCGCGCAGCCACAGGTGACGGTTAGCGGCGCGCGAGATGTCTCGCTCCAAACGGCTGTGGCTTCCTCGCCGCTCGCCCTGTGACTGCCCCGGACTCCGGAGCTGACGGAATCGTTAAGCCCCGCCCCGCCTTCCTATTGGCTGCTACCACCCCACCTGACTAGCCGCCCTCACGTTCCCAAAGTGTGTTTACTACCCTGAGAGGATGGGAAAGGGGGTGCGCGGGCCGAGGGGCTCGATGACGGAACCGGCAGGAACTGTTGAGCTAAAGGCAAACAACCGATCCCGTTCCCGTGAACAAATCCACCCGTCTGCCAGCTCGGTAACCGAAGTGAGGGGGGTTACGGGGTGGCACCTCCATGACTGCGAGCCCCACCCTCTTCGTATCGAGGGCGGAGAAACCCGGATGAGCACGGGGCTGCGAGGCGGCTCCTGGCGCGCCCGTGCGCGTGCCTTCAGTTGGCAGCAGAAAAGTCTGTTTGTGCGCATGCTCCCCTGCTGGAGCTGGGGAGGGCGGGACATTCTCGTGAGGGGAGGGAGGGCGCGCTGCGCGCGTGCACGCTGGGGAGCGCGGGCGGTAAACGGGCTGTTTTGCAGAGAATCCTGTGTACGTCAGAAGGATGCTCGGCAGGAGCGGTCACGGGCGCGCCTGGGCCCGGCTCCTACCGCGCTGCTCACGTCCCTGCGGAGAGAACGGCGCGAGCCCGCAGGGACACGGGCTGGCGCTTACATAACTGAGCTGCACGAGGCGCGCGCTTATAGGGCCAGCGACCCGCTTCCTGCGCCACCCGTTGTTCCACGCACCTCCCCCTGCGTCATCCCCACCGCTTGTGACCCCCTTACTGCTTGCGCTGGTAGCCCTGGGCAGTACGGGAGCGCGCGGGGGATCGGAGAGATACAGGCACGAGCCCAGCAGCCCTACACCACGGCATTCAGGCTGGTGGTCATATCTAGCAGAGCTGTGCCCCTGACTGCTTGTTCAGGAGAGCGAGCAAACAGCGTCCTTCCTCCACCCCGTTACTCTAGAGGTGCTGGGACTAGGGGCGTGCCACTCCACCCTGGCTTGAAGTGGTTTCCATTATATTCAGGGTTTACAGTTTGGCTGAATGGCTCTCAGCACCCCCACTATGGACATTGTTCCACCCCTGCCCTAACTTATTTTCTTGGGGGCTGGAGTGTGTTTGAATTATACTAAGTACTATTTCATATGATATTTAAAAGGATTTTATTTTTCCTTAATCCCAAAGACTCCCCCATCCCTAGGTGCATATTTCCCAAAGGAAAAATGGGCCACCACATGAAGCTAGCCCCAATTGCTTGCCTAAGATGCTTTCTTCCCCCCCCCCCCAATTGTCACTCAAATCCTGCTGGCCCCCCACTTGAAGCTGTCACTAGAACCCTGTCTGCCCCCCACCCACAGTGGAACCCTTCCTCCCCCACCCTCCAGCCCAGGCTGGCATCTCTGCTTTTCCCCCACCTGTTTCTCTGCACCACACCCCACTTTTTTGAAAAAGTTGGCAAGAATAAAGGGGATAAATGCCCACTTTTGCCAAAGTAGTCAAGATGGCTGGGACTGGGCTTAATAAAGGGACTGTCACAGCCAAAACAGAACATGTAGTCACCCTATAAAACACCATCTTTCCTTTGCAGTGTTTGTAATCCACCCACTGCTACACTGGGCTAGCACATAACCCAGGAAGTGAAAGGATTAGAAATAAAGGTACAACTATGGGCATGGCTTCACTACAGCTGACTAACTTCCCCCAACCTAGCCAGATCTAGGTCAGTTTAACTACAGCACTCAGTGTGAATATTTCACACCTCTGAGCAACATAGCTATGTCAATTATAGGCATAGACTAGACCTAACTCAAGTTCATGGCTCCTAGTGAATGATCTGCTGAAAGAAAGAAAGAAAAACCCCACAAACAAACAAAAACAGTAAAGATACCAAGAAGTAAATTTTATAATCAACTTTAATAAAAAACTTGTGTTCCTTTAAATACACCTTTCATTACCAAGGAAAGATTTCCCCTACTCCATCTGAGACACTTGTCAGATTTGCCTTTACATATTTTTTTATTTGTACTTTTGTAATTACTTTCCATACTTTAGCTGTTTCTTGCTCAAAAGCGCTTTCATGTTTAAGAGCAGCATAAACCCAGACAGTACATTTTCCTGTCAAACCTCAGCCATTACTGTTACAAAGAGAGAGCAGGAACACATAAAGGAGACCGTAAGTAGAATAAAATTCTAATCAAAGATGAAGATAATTCATGAATTGAAATAGGTCATTTTTTTTAAAAGTATCCTCTACAAGCAGAGCTTTGTAAATTAGCATTTAAGGCAGTTGAATGCAGTGTCATTGTATTGACCCACTTGTCTCACAAAAGGAAGTCCTTTTTTATGGAACAGGTTACAATGTTTCTGTTTTGTTTAAACTAGAGATACAGGCATAACTAGTACAGTACAAGCCCAAGGTAATCCTGAGTGACAGCTAAGTATGTTTTTGAAAAGAATAATTAAAAAAATTAATCAAAGGTGCAGTTAAGATATGCAGACTGCGCAGCTGTTGGGAACTGTGCATGTGATACAATCTGGCTCAAGATTTTCAAACACAACTAAGAAGGGACATGATAATATACAAAATAATGGTAGAGAAAGGTATACCGGGAATTTTTTGTTCACCATGGTTCATTACAAGAACAAGGGGACATTCAGTGAATCATAAAAATGTAGGGCTGAAAGGGACCTTGGGAGGTCATTCAGTCCAGCTATCCACACTGGGACAGGACCAAGTGTACCTAGACCATCTCCGGCTGTGTTTGTCTACCCTGTTCTTAAAAATCTCCACGGATGGGGATTCCACAGCTTCCCTTAACCTATTCCAGGGCTTACTTACTCTTAGAGTTTTCTTACTATTAACCTAAATCTCCCTTTCTGCAGATTAAGCAGATCATTTCTTGTCCTGTCTTCAGTGGACATGGAGAACAATGCTCACGGTCTTTCTTGTAACAGCCCTTAACATATTTGAAGCCTTACCAGGTCCTCTCCTCAATCTTTTCCTCACGACTAAGCATGACTTTTTTTTTTAAAAAAAACTTTTCCTCCTAGGTCAGGTTTTCTAAACTTACCATTTTTGTTGTTCTCCTCTAGATTCCGTACATTTTGTCCACATCTTTCTTGAAGTGTCTCACCAAAACTGGACACAGTACTCCATCTGAGGCCTCATCAGTGAGGAGTAGAATTGAACAATTAGCTCCCATGTCTTTCATATGATGCTCCTGTTAATGCATCCCAGAAACTAGAAGATGGCAAATTGAAAACTGATAAAAGGAAGTATTTTCATACAATGCAGGTTAGTTTGTGGAACAGTCAGAGACCAGGACTTAGGCATTCATGCCTAGTGGTTGGAACGGGAGTCAGGCAGCCAGGAATAGAAACCCAGGTCAGAGCCAAAAAATGAGAAATCGGAACCAAGGCTCAGAGCTGGGTTACCTAGAGAGAAGCATGGGAAAGGCTGGGTACAAGCAAGAGCTATCACAGCTGTGGGCAAATGCTTTGAGCAGGCACCAAACTGCTGGTCCTGGGATAGAGAGCTATTCTGCTGACTCTTCCTACTCATCAGGTGGAGTAGCCAATCAAGCAATCTGTTACGGGCCAGTGGCACTCTTTAGGTTGCCCAGTGACTGACTCTGCCGCATGCCCTGATTCCAGATGGGAACTGAATACTAAATAGTATAATTGAGCCCAGAAGTTTAGCAGACTTAAAACAGCGATTAGACATTTACACAAACATAATATACAGCAGTAAGTACCAAATAAAAAGCCATGAATTTTGGAAGAGATATAAACCCTCATGCTTCAGGACTAAAGGCAACCAATAATTATAGGTTGCCTAAGAGGAAACGTACCCTGCCTCTTACAGGTCTTTTAGCACCTTCCTCTGAAGCATCTGGTGTTGGCCGTTGTCCATAACAAACTATTGGATTAGCTGCACCACTGGTCTGATTTAGTATAGCAATTCACGTGTTCCTCACACTGCTGCTGTTGGTGGAGTACTGAAAACAGTTTCAGATGGTAATTTTAACTTTTTCTGTTGCTTTTGCAGTTTTGCCTTAAAGGATGGACAACAACAGGAAGTGTGTGCTGATTACAAATAAAAATAATTACGCAAGAGTATCCTGCCTCCATTTACCTGTTTCTCTCCCAATAAGGAATGAACCCAGACCAGAAGCAGAACACTATTTAAAAAAAAAAAAACTAATTATTTGTTCTCTACTGAAGTAGATTTTTGTAAATAGAGTAATAGTGTACTGTAGAAAGGTGGACTCACCACTGGCATGCCCCTTTGCAGCTGTATGTGGCATAGCAGCTATCCTTTCTAGCAGCCTCTGTCTACAGTCACTTCAGTGCTCTCTTCTCATGACATAGCCCTCCAGTCAGGTCACATCACATTTAAGTCTGTTACTCCGGAAGGGATGGAAAGTCCAACAAACAGAAGTTGGAATACATAATCTCAAGACCTTGTCTCTCCAGCCCTCTAACTTGGGGCCCACTGGTCATCACACTCTTCTCTCCTTCCTAGTGGGGAACCCATGCCCACCATCTACATTGTGTTCCAATCCAGATACCCTATGTCTGCTGTCAGACACTTCATCACTGCCTCCCTGGACTCTTTCCTATCATTAGCCTTTCTTCAGGCATTTTCCCCAGCCCCTTCCTGGGGCCTTTGTAACAAGCAGCATCTCCCAGGGCTTATCCCCAAAGGTCCAGTTCTTACCCTTATGTCAGGGTCAGCCACAGGAGTTTACTCCAGTTCTGTGGATACCAGCTATCATCCCTCTCTGGACTTCCTCCTTATTCTCCAGACCTTCCTGTTCCCTACAGGTCTTTCCACTCTCTACTTCCCTACTCCCCAGAAGGAGACCATTTTTCTCTCTCCCCATGCAGCCCTTCAAACTTCAGACTCAAACACATTTTAAGATTTGCCATCACAGCCTCTTGGGATTTACTGCCTCAAGTTTACTTTTAGCTCAGGAGGTCCTGCCTCTGGCCCTAGACTTCACTACCTCTGGCTGAGGACCTTCTGATTCTAGAACAAGCATCTCACAGCCTTTAATCCAAAAGAGGAAACTACCTTTCTCCTAGCTTTCTTCCCTGGCCTTCCCTCCATTAGCCTGTGATCCTTCCTTTATGAAAACCAAGTAGCATTGGAACCACGGTCATAGCACCACTTGGATTTGGCCCATCTGTGGAGGGGTGGAGAGGCCAAATGTAAAGGGAGCTGTGTCCAGCTTTACCCACTTGAAATGTTGGGAGGTATGGGCTCCTATTAACCGTTTCATTGCCTGTTTGGGGATACAGATACCTTACATTTTTCCATGTCCCCAGGGCTGTCCGTCCTAAGGCATAAGCAGAATAGGAGGCTGTGTAGGGCACCTGAAAATTTGGGACACCACTGGGTCTTAGTGTCCACCCTTCCACCTTCCTATCCCTGTTCTGACCCTTCCTGCAGGCTCCCACAGCTGGCTGCTGCAGCCTGGTGACCCTTACTTCGGAGGGGATCTAGTAACTTAAAGTGAAAAAGCCTCCAGCCTGCCAGATCTATTAGCACAACACTGAAACTGTTAAAGAGCCATTCAAGTGGTAATGAAGGCATTTGCCAAATCCCAGGTATATACTGTCGGTTTCTGCATTTACTGACAAAAACAGTTGTGCATTACTGTAATATTTACTCAGAACATATTAGTCTACAGGACCTTAGTTTAAAATTTGCTTTAAAAATATTTTATTAGTGAGTTGGTGAAGATTATAAAATCACATCTCTAAAAAATCCTTGCACAGATTTTTAGATGCACAATCATCTTTAGCCTTAAAAGCTTGGATCTTCAGACATATCGTTTTTAAAATAAATCCTTCAAAAGACCATCCTTATCTAAAATATACATTTTAATTTAAATTACTATAGTAAAAAAAAACTTGCTTCCAGTCTTCCTGTCCATCCCTTTCTCCCTTACCCTCCCCCCACCCCTTGAAGAAAGCCCTTAAAGGGACAACACCCCTTTCCTTCCAGATAGCTGGACAAAGTTTCCCTATCTTTACTTCTATCTCATGAACTAGTTTTAAGAGAACCCTCCAGCAAAATCAGTACCTTAATAAGATATAAAATCCTTTGTTATGCCTAAAATCTTTGGAAACATTTTTTAAAGTTGGTGAAATTTCATAAACATGTCTATTGTTATGGAGATCACAAAGTAAATTAAGTGTTCCCTTTTTCTAAAAGCAATGAACATTGTTATGAACACACTAAACCTCTGAGACTGATTAATTTAAAAGAATGTCTTTGTTTCAGTGAGTTAAATATGTAGTAATCTGGAATGATTACTTTATGAAGGCTTAAGAGTACATTTAAAATATAAAATCAGCTTAAAAATACTGATTAAGAAAATGTAAAACAGAGAAGAGCTGCATCATGTATTCCATAATATTTAATGTTGTATTCAGTAAGACAGCTGACTCACCCTTACTACAAAGTCTTTGCAAATAAATGTCTGACAAACTTCAGGGCATATCAAAAAACCTGTAACTGACATTTTTTATTCCCAAATTTAGTGCTTTTAATTAGGTACCTTCTGCATGTCCATTCTGCATGAGAGAGAGGGTAGGGGGTCTCTTCGGGGAACTGTGATTCTCCGCCACCGTGAGGCGGGCCAGGTGTTTTCAAACAAACTACCCTTTGCTGCCTCGTCCCTACCCCCTACCCCCACTCTGGGCTGCGAGCCCGGGCTGCCATCAGGCATAGGGGCACCAGTTTAATAATACTGCGTAGGGCCCCATAAATTCTAAGGATGGCCCTGATTGTCCCTCTCCAACTCCTGAACTTTATGAAATATTATTAATATGTAAGGTACAGCAGCAGCCAGAGGCCCCAGTCCTATGGTGTTTGTTGCTATACAAGCTACCACTGATCCACACAGCTTAAAAAGAGTTTGTGGGTCCAGTTTAGCTTTTAGTTTTGCCATTGACTTCAATAGCAGCATGAATGGCCTTAAGGCTTTCAAATACTGTTTCCTTACAGGCTTAACTTCAGGTCCTCAAAGAAGAGGAAAAAGATAAAAATGAGGAACAGAGGCCCCAAATCACCTCTCTTCTCCCTTTCTCTCTACCCATAACATCCACAATGCCCGAAGGACAAGACAAGGAGCCCAAACCTTAAATAAGATAACACTGGTATTTTAAAGGGAAACAACAAGTTTAACAAAACAACTTTTTCTCATGATCTCATTCTTTTTGGTCATATGCTTAGGGCCTATGCAAATATTCCAACTCAGTTTAAAACTAGAGTCCACCCTCATCTAAGCTGGGCCTATATTCTGACATAAAATATGATATATTGGGGTCTTTTGACCATAGAGGGAAATTGGGATGCGAGTCTCTGTTCTCTTTGGGAGACTATGAGAGAGATATTGGCCTTAATAAGCTATTATAGTAGGTGAAGCGGAGTATGAACTGTGAGCTATATTTAGTGCTGTGCTGGTTGGAGATATGCATGTAGAGGTTTTTATTTTATAGAACTTTACTTTTAAATAGCCTAAATTTCAAATGTTTGTTTCTTTAATAACCACATTATAACATTTTGAAATAAAGGCTATTGCTTTATTTAAAACCTTAATTCCATTTTCATGTCTGGGAATTTTATTAAATCTAGACATGCTTCAGTGTCCTAAATTGGAACATTTCTATTTAAAACTGCAACAAAAACAGTTGTATCAAATGGAAGAAATATGAACATAAGTGATTCTCAGTGAGAAAGATGCTGTAGTCTGTTTGCTTATCCTCACTCTAATTAAAGAAGAAGATACATTACATGAGTTATAGCATACCACAAGCTTGGTAAATTAAAGCACTGAGACTTAATTTATTAACAACTGTACTTCACTACCAACTGTGAGCTTGACTGACAAAGTATTCTCCTCCTCCTTGCACTGATGGAAAACAGGACTAACTCCATTAAAATCAATGGATTTACATCAACATAGAAGTGGTGAGATAAATCAGACCCATCCCTGCACTGCCAGGGTATCCACATACTACTGCCTAAATTCCCCCAAACCCATCCCAGCATGCACAAGGCCGAGTCAAACCTAGGATGGATTCTCAGGGGATAACCTTTTTGGGTGTTCCACAGTCTTGGTCAACAATCTGGTGCAGCTGTTGCCAGGATATTATATGGGGATAACCAGCAAAACTGAAATCATAGGGGCAGATTCAGCTCTGGTTTATCCTACAGAAGTAAAGTTAGCTACTCCCTTGAATTTGGCCCTTAGCCACCAACTGTTCCTAGGACAGCCCATAGTAAAACATCAGCTATTTTACAGTGATCTGTGCAATGCACTTCTGTGGGGCCTCCCTATTGCCCTCCTCACTCGGACACACCCTAGTCCCCCTCCCCCAGCTATCCTCAAATTACCCAGTCGCAGGCCACCGTGCTGGGGACTGGGTTCATTGCATTCATTCCATGCAAACATCCCACTGGCGATTTACAAGTTTAATTCTATTTTTTAAAGGGCCAGGTCCTGGGGCCCCCTGGGCGTCACTGGGAAAGGCCCCACCTTTGCGGCTCAGCAGGGCAGGGGAGTTCCCAGCAGGGGGCGCTGTGCTGCTCCCGCTGGGCCGGGACCCGCAGCCTCCTCGCTCTTCCCACCGGGCAACAGGGATGGGACAGGCCGCTTGAGCTGAGCCAGCGCCGTTCCCACCCGGTACAAAGGAAGGGGGGGGGGTGTCGCTCCGTTCCCTCTTCCCACGGGTGGTGCCGGCGCCACCCCACGTCGCCCCTCAGGAGAGCCGGCGTGAGCCAGGAGGCCAGGTCCGGAGCCCGGGGTTGGTGCCGTCCCGGCCGAAGGGGACATCGGTGCCGAGGGGCTGAGCACTGGCGACTGCTCCCGCGCTGACGGAGGCAACCCGGCCCCTGGGGGCTCCGGCAGGGCTGGGTCCCTCCCCCCACGGCTAGCACCACAGCGGGGCCCTGTCGCCTTCCCCGCCAGACTCAGGTTCCCGTGGGGTCCGCCCGCAAGCCCCTTGGCCCCCCCCTGCCAACACGGAGCTGGGGTGGAGCGTGCGCAGGCGCGCGCCACAGCCTGTTCCTCACGCCTTTATCCGCCGCGCAGCGCCCAGCCCGGGGAGTGCAGACCAGGCGAGTGGGGGGCGCGATCCCGTTATTAGCACGTCCTCAGCTCTTCTGGGTCGCTCGCCCATCGCTGAATCCCTCTCTCGAGCTGCCCCTGAGAATTGAGGCTAGAGAGAGCAGGGCCGGCTTTAGGCCGATTTGGCCGATTTCCCCTAATTGGGCCCCGCGCCTAAGAGGGCCCCGCGCAGATCGGCAGCGTCCCTGCCTGAAGCAAAGCTCTCCCGGAAGTAGCAGCTGTTGCTGCTAGGCAACCAGGGACGCTGGCCGGCAGAGGGCTAGAGCTGAGGCAGCGGCTGTTGCAGTTCGGGAGGGAGGGGGGAGGGGAGGAGAAGGCACATGTGCTTTGCAGCCTTCCCGTCCCCTCCCCCCAGCACTGGCCTGGAGGAGACGCCGAGGGGGCTTCCTGCAGTGGACCTCACTCACCTCGGCCCCAGGCAATCGGGCAGTGTCCCTGCCGGAAGCAAAACTCTGTGGCTCTCCGGGAAGCCGCAGCTCTTGCTGCTAGGCAGCCAGAGACGCTGCGCTGGCCGGCAGAGGGCTGAGGCAGAGGCAGAGGCAGCCGTGGCTGTTGCAGGTCAGGGGGGGGAGGGGGGAGAAGGCACATGTGCTTTGCAGCCTTCCCCTCCCCTCCCCCGGGCACTCACCTGGAGGAGACGCCGAGGGGGCTTCCTGTCCAGTGGGAGACAGGAATCTCTGCAGTGGACCTCACTCACCTGAACAGCTGCTGGGGCTTCGGTCGGTGAGTGTTTGACCCTGTGATTCCCCATAGGTTTGTAATATTGGGTTGGTTTTGTGGGTTTCGGTGGTGTTGCTGTTTGAGGGTGAGTTTGTGCCTGCCTGTGTCTGTTTCAAAACTAAACTCGGGATCATGTAACCCAGGAAGAAAGCCCCAAACTGGTACTTAGTGCTGTGAATTCCAGGTGAGAGAGAGAGGGGGGGTTGGACAAGGAAATCAAAACATCAAGAGGGGAGAATACGAAAGGTCTGCAACACGTCAGGCTGAGACTTTTATCTCTCCCCCCCCCGAGAGAGGGGAAACTGAGGCACGGAGTGATCTGATTTCCCTCCCCAAATTATTTTGCAAAGGAGGGGGACGGGGGCTCCTATCCAAACCAGTTCCCTTCCCATCAACTCTGCTTCCCCTGCTGCAAGACCACGGTAGGGGCTGAATATTTCCATTAAACTCTGGCTCCTTCGTTTGCCCTGCAACAATAAAATAGACTGGCTTTGGGGGGGAGGAATAGCCCCCCAAAGCTGTGTGGACATTAAGGGTTTTGGGGGGGGGCACGATAATATTCCAGATCAATCAAATGCCCAGCTCAGCTTTCTAGCCATCCAGCAGCTCTAGGGCAGGGAAGGAAGGTGCTCTTGGTGCAGAGTGATCGCAAAACGGGTGAATTTAGCGGGGGGGGGGTCCAGTTGAAATCCTGCCTGATGCAGCCACACAGAATCGCTGGCGGCGCTGGGAGAGGCCATGAGTAGAAGCAGGTGGCCTGGGGGAGGGGGGACATTTGCCCTCAGTCCTGGGCTCTGGGATGGACTAGGCTGGGTGGTGGGTTCAGTCTAGTCTTCCAGCCTGTTGCTGTCCCTGGGGATTGTGGTTTTCATCTAGCTCCACCAAAAGTGTCTCTTAGATTCCTCTGCAGCAGTAAAGGATGCAGTAAAGGGGGCAGAGCTGGTTGTAGCCAGTTCCTGTAGCCCCAGGGCTCAAGGGAAGTTCCAGAAGGAGGGGCTGGACGAAGCCAGCTCCTGTCCCTTAATCATCTCCCTGGGGGAGGGGGATGTACCACCTTGTAGCAAGGAGGCCACCACAGCTGCTGACTGCCAGGAAGTTGCAGGTCAGCAGGGGGCAGGGCCTGCCCTGGGGTGCATAGAGGCGTGTGTCCCAAAGGTGGAAGTTGGGGACCTGGGGACCGCTGCAATGGGAACAGGCCCCAAGGACTCTAGCTGGAAGCAAATCCAACCTGAGTGAAAGGGTTGCATTTCTTGCATACAATAACCGATCAACAGCATTCCCAAATTTATAGCAATTCGAATCTTCCTGACTATTCCGGTAACTGTAGCCTCAGGAGAGAGGAGCTTCTCGAAGCTAAATCTAATTAAAACGTATCTGCGATCAACAATGCAGGAAGACCGATTAAACAATTTGGCAATCATGTCAATTGAATGCGAAGTAATGAAGAGCTTAGAGTTAGGCAATATACTGAAAGATTTTGTCAAACAAAAAGCAAGGAAGATAAAGTTTTAAAAACATATAGGTGAGATGTACAATAAAGTTCCTCTTAATGAACTTGATATTTATAATATATGATGCAATGTATGTAATATATAATTTTGTTATTATTTATATAGTCATGGAAAGTAAATAATACATGGAAGAAATGAGAGGGGTTTTTTTTAAGTGTTTTTTTTTAAGTCATCCCTGCAGGGGCCCCGTCGAAACTGTTCGAATTGGGCCCCGCACTTCCTAAAGCCGGCCCTGAGAGAGAGCCCCAGTTTCCTGTCGACGGGGGGTTAGGGGGCTGGAAATGGCGTTTGTTTTCCTAATTAGGTGAAGACATTTGAGCATATTGAAGGGGAAATGTAAAAAAAGCGAGGTGCAGGTGTCTGAGCTGAGCGTTAGCTGCTTACAGTTGCTCAGACTGTATAAATCCTGACAGGTGTGAAATCCTCCCTTCTCAGACTATAGGTTTTTTATAATCTTGGTTTTATTCTTTACATCATAGAAGTGTAAAGTTAGCGTGACCAGACAGCAAGTGTGAAAAATCGGGATTGGGGGTGGGGAGTGATAGGAGCCTATATAAGAAAAAGACCCAAAAATCAGGACTGTCCCTATAAAATCAGGACATCTGGTCACCCTATGTAAAGTGGAGAGATGTCTTCTCCAGGCTGATGCAGATCTGTGTCTTAAAGGTGTTAATTTATAATCTTTCAGCAGTTTAGCCTTATAATTGTTACATTTTCATAGACCCATGGTGTTACCACCACATTTTAAAATGTAAGAGGACTTCTATGTATGTAATATTACAGAAATACCATTGACGTAATGCTTATGGAGGAATCTACATCCTCCCCTCAGAACTTTTTTATTCTATTTTACAATACAGCATTGTAAACTGCTGCACTATTGTATATTATATTTCACTACTGGAATTTCAAACTTAAAAAATATCAAGAGTATCACACCTTGGTACACTGCTAGAAAGTTAGCAAATAGTCATTGGTGCAGGTGAAATGGGTTTAATCCTGGACAAGTTCGTAGTGGACAGCTGTATACTTCACTAATATCACTACCACATCTGGCTGTAATTGGGCACCCTTGTTGACCATGGGATCAAAGGCCTCATCTAGTCTGGCCTTTTTCTTAACATCTCCCAAAATTGCACTACTGCCACCACAGCATATGAAATATCTAAAAGTCTTAATGGAGTTATACATATTAGTATCTAAATATCTTGGAACTATACATTTTAAGGATAGTAAGAACAGTCTAGCATCTGTTAGAAAAATTGTCTGAGATTTTGTGGAATACTATGGACAGAGACTATTCCATAATATTATTCCAGAATTTGGTTATTTTGAAAACAATGTTTTCCTACAAAGCTTCTTGTAAATAATGATATTCTCATCTACAGACTTTATAATAATATTTCAATATGATATCATAGCTTTTAGACACTTTTAGCAGGACACTATCAACTTAAAAATCTATTCAATTTTTTTTTAAATTCAGATTAATTTCATGTATTACAAATGCCCTGAGTACCCATACCAAGTATTGGATGTTAACAAATCACATTTTTCTACTTTTTAAAAATGTTTTTATCTTTCCTGTTTCTATGTGACCCTCACTAAACAACAGAGAAACTGACTACACGCAAAGTAGTGTCTACTACAGTATAAAACAAAAAGATTTTTCCCCATCTAGTTTGTTTCACTTTAGTAATCTGGGGAATTTTTTATAGGTAAAACATTGAAACAGAAGTGCAAATTTTAAGTTGGCTGGGTCCCTTTGACAGAACCTGTGACTTATATGGCCGACCTCAAATAAGCATGGATAGCATTTACTAGGCCAAATTTCGCTCTTTAAAATTTTGCTTAAGAAATTTATTAGATGTTATTGGAAAAGTGTTCATGAGTAGTGTATTTATAAGTGAATATGGCTGAAGTCTATTCTAGTCTTTTAAGTCCTTTCTTTGACAATTTGTAAGTTGAAAATAAAAGTTGGGCTTGGCTATTTTACCAGTAAGTACTTTTATGGATCCTATTGCCAAAGTCTCCAAGCACTTTTAATAACACTTCATTTCCATGAGAGCCCGTGGATTGAAGGTGCTAAAGTGCCTCACACAGTTTAATTGAGGCCCTGATCCTGCAAATACATACATACATGCTTAAGTTTATCCACCAAATAGCTCCAATGCATTCAGTAGGACTACTCACAGTACAAAAAGTTAAGTACTTGCAAAAGACTTTGCAAGATCAGGGCCTTAGGCCTTAAACCCCATGAAATATTATTCCAGTTTTTCAAGATTGGGAAACTAAAGCACAGAAAGTTGTGACTTGCCAACAGTTACACAGCAAGGCTTTGACACACCTAGAAGGGGGAGAGATAGCTCAGTGGTTTGCTAAACCCAGGGTTGTGAGTTCAATCCTTGATGGGGCCATTTAGGGAACTGGAATCTTAAAAAAACAAAACAAAAACTGTCTGGGGATTTGTCCTGCTTTGACTAGATGATCTCCTGAGGTCCCTTCCAACCCTGATATTCTAAGATTACCTGAGTCACTTCAGCTTGCTAGACAAGGTTTCCTTAAATTATAAAACTCTTGAGATCACATTAAAAACCTTAGATTGTGACTTTAGCATGTTCACATAGTAGCTGGATTATGGGCAGAAATCTTACTCAGCTTCAAAAATTTTAATATCAAAGAAAAATACTAGTAAAAATGTTTTACATCAGTGTCCTCTTGTATGTAAGGTAAACCTGCATACAATTATTTAAGAATTAGAACTAAATTTCTAAAGCATTAAAGGCTTTTTAATCTAGCAGAAAAAAGGTATAACAAGCTAATGGTTAGAAGTTTAAGCTAGACAAATTCAGACAAGAACTAAGAGGCAGATTTTTAAGTGAGAATAATTAACCATTGGAATAACTTACCTAGGACTTGATGGATTCTCCATCATTTGCGAGCTTTAAAGAAATACTGGATATCTTTCTAAAAAGATATCAAACAAAAGTTGGATGCAGAAATTACTGGGTAGGGTTCTTTGTCCTGTGGTATGTGGGAGATGAGTCTACTAGAATATCATAATGGTCCCTTCTGTTCTTAAAGCAGTGGTCCCCAAACTTTTCACAGTTGCGCCCCTCCCCTCCCCTGTCCACATCCTCCCCGCCCGGGAGCTGGGGCTGGGGGCGGGGCCGCAGCTCGGGAGTGGGGGTCGGGCATGCACAGGAGTAGTGGGGGTCGGAGCTGGGGGCACCAGGAGTGGCACCAAGGCTGGGTCTGGGAGCCATGGTCAGGGGCCACGGCTGGGGGCAGAGCAGGCCTGCACTCCTTCTCCTCCCCGTGAGAGCTGGCCCAGGCCCTGCTGCACCCCCCTTATACATTCCTCTGTGCCCCCCAACGGGGGCATGCCCCACAGTTTGGGGACCACTTCCTTAAAGTCTATGAAAATTTGACATTTTTCCTGCTCTCTTTTTGATCTTTATAAGGGTATTTTTAGCTGAGAAGAAACTGCTATACAGTGAAACTGACAGTACACAAAGTTGTCAAGTGCACAAACTGAATTCGATATTTGTTTGCTGACTTTCAATTATAGCACACAATCAGTGGTGTGTTACTTAAAGCAATAATTGGTACAAAAATTTTCAAACAAATATGAGTTTTCAAGTTTTTACTGTCCCTTTTAGCTTCTAAAAGGTTTTTATAAAAAGTGGAAATATAAGAAGTTTAAAAAGTTACCTGATAGTGCCCTTTTGTATTTAAACACTGCTGTTCTTCCTGTCATCTCAGAATATGTGCAGCTGTATTAATGATAACCTAAATTCAGTTAGAGTGTGGGTGGGAACACCAGAGGTGAAAGTAAGCCGGTACGGTACGGTACGGTACGGTATGGCGTACTGGCAAGAGCCAGTATGCCGTGCCGGACCAGACGGGCTTCCCCAGGCTGGCTATTTAAAGGGTCCGGGGCTCCCTGCAGCGGCTGGAGCCCCGGGCCTTTTAAATCACCTCCGGAGCCCTGCTACTGCTACCCCAGGGCTCCGGCAGCGGGGCTCGGGCGGCGATTTAAAGGGCCCTGGTATTTAAAGGCCCCGCCTTGTCCAGTTGAGGCCACGCCTCTTCCTGTTGAGGCCACGCGCCCTGCTCAGGACTCTGGCGTACTGGTAAATTCTTTAAGTTACTTTCATCCCTGGGGAACACTAATTATCCAAAACCACATTCTGATTGACTGGTTGGGTCTGTCACATCTGTGCACCAAATCCAAAGGATGCACAGATGGGAGCTCATTTACACATAAATCCGTTTGCTCGTTTTGTTCAACAGGTGACAGTGGAAGTTAAGTACAGAAAAAGATAAGGCAGCTGTGGGGATGGGAGATGAAGAAAAGTAGTTGTTTGAAGGCCTAAAGGAGAAAGTGATAATAACTCCCTCCCCAAAATGCCAAGGTGCTAGTTCAACCACTTTTAACCTACCTGACTAGTCAGAAGAAAGCTGTCCAATAGTCCAAATTATCATTTATTATAAAAAGTGAGTTCAGTGGCTTTTAGAATATATACTGCCATTAAAAGAAAGAGAGGATGTCTGGGAAAAATTGAATATATTTAAAGTATTTGAGGAAGGCATTTAGCTTTTCCCTCTCATTTGATCCTTTTAATTGGAACTTTGGTTTAAAAAAAAAGAAGGCTAAATTGCATAGAATCCCATACTTTAAATGTGCAACTGGAAAGTTACACTGTAATAGCAATAAGACACTTCTGAGTGTCCACGAGTTGGCTAATGATGCATTTTTGGCAGGATTCTCCCAACCATGCATTGTATCTTGCAGTACATCAGAGGCATCCACCAGTAGCCTATTAACAAACACCCTTGTGGGGACTACTGATATAACAACCATGTGGGAACAGTTAAACTTGTGTGGTATTTGGGGCAGAACACTCACATTCTGCCCCATGTTCCCTATATGGTATTTTGGGGTTTTATTGTTCTAATGAAGCATCCTTTGAGATGTTAGCAGAAAATTCCATGTTCATTCTGAAGTGGAATGAAAGCTAAGTATGTGAAAATGTTCCTTTTAGAAGTAATGGTCTCTTATAGCAGCTCAGATTTGAACATGAATGTCTTTCGAAAATACCATATAAGACAGAAATTAACATTTTCTAATTTTTGATTTTACATTCATTTTGTAGAGTGCAGCACTCCAGAATGTTGAGAGGAATCAGGAATAGTACACCACACGTGTTTACACTTTCGTTGGCTAGATCTCAGCACTGCAAACTACTGTTGACTCTCTCATCCCTGTGGAATAACGTAAAGGATGGAAGCTTTTTACAGCATTCCAGTTATACAACTGATATCAAATCAAAAGTGGAGAACAAGAGAACTGTGGAGAATCTCTACAGATTATCCGTTGATATTAAAAAAATTCGGAGACTAAAGGAGTGGGTCCTTTTTCAGGATGCAGCCTACGTTAAAGAAACTGCTAACACTTTACGTGAAATGGGAGCTGATAAGACTGCCATAGCAAATATTTTGGAACGTTGCCCAGAGGCAATCCTCCTTACCCCAGCAGAGATAAACTCTCAAAGAGATCTGTGGCAATCAGTATGCCAAAATGAAAAACAACTGGTCAAATTAATAGAACAATTTCCAGAGTCTTTTTTTACCGTTGAACATCATGAGAACCAGAAATCTAATGTTCAGTTCTTTCAAGAATTGGGACTGAAGAATAATATAATCAGCAGGTTCTTCACAAGTGCACCCGATATTTTTTACAAGCCTGTTGAGAAAAACAAACATACAGTAGAGACATTACAGAGAATGTATCTAAATTTAGGCGGTTCTAATGCCAATATGAAGATCTGGCTTCTGAAATTATTGAGTCAAAACCCATTTATTTTGTTAAATAGCGCCACAGCAGTTCAAGAGAACTTGGAGTTTCTCCAAAAGAATGATTTCACTGATTTTGAAGTTCTGCAGCTGCTATCCAGGCTTAAAGGTTTTATTTTTAATCTTAGCCCTAACACTATGCAGAAGAGCATGTTTTTTTCCAAAGATGTTTTTAAGTGCAGTGATCAAGAATTAAAAGAGCTAGTGTTGAAATGCCCTGCTCTCCTCTACAATTCTGTTCCAATTCTGGAAGAAAGACTCAAGGGACTGTTGAAGGAAGAAATTTCTGTAGATCAAATTAAAGAGACACCAATGGTGCTGGAGCTGACAACCCAAATTGTGCAGTACAGAATTAAAAAGTTAGCTGCTTTAGGATACAATATAAAAAATGGAAATCTAGAAAATTTGAACGGAACAAAGAGAGATTTTGAAGCCGCTTATTGTAGGATACAAGCAAAGAGGGAGAGACCAATGTTTAATCCTGTTGCTCCTTTAGATTAATTTGAATGCCTTTAATTTATTCAAAAAGAGAACTTTATCCTTCCTTAAGGACTGAAATAAAAATAACCTTAGCCAATTTGTATTCTGCTGCATGAAGTTGTGCAGTAGCTGGCTTTAATTCATAGCTCACTAGTACTTTTAAAAGTTCTATTACAAAAAGTGATCATAATAAAAGGTTAGCAGTATCATTGCTATTATTTACATAAGGACTAGGTTTTTAGATTGTATCCCAAGCACACACTTTTTAAAGAAGTTTCCCCATCGAACTGGCCACCAACTTACCTAGGTCTTTAGCGATTGGTGTTGCACTAGCCAGTCTATGATAATGCCGAGAACGATTACACTAACCAACAAGAAAAGTTAGCAGCGTGAATTTTCAATACTATTCATCAGGCAGCAGGTAAGTAAAAGACTTTCAAAAAGTCCTTTAGGTAACTGCCACTGCAACAAAGAGGCCACTGGAGGTTGAGCCCAAATTGAAGCTGGCAGGCTGATGGGGTGGAAGGAGATTACATAGTCCTTGCACATCCTCTCAGTGGAGACTCTAGCTATTTACCATATTTATGTACAATCATTACTATAAGAGGGCCCTGTCACCATCTTAGTGTGGTCTCTCACGGGGTCTTATCTTCTCCTGACTGACCTTCCTAGTTTTCTCTGTCAGTTGCTGGACCTTCACCTCCAATTAAGTCCATCAGCTCTTCACATTTTGGGTTTGCAGTCTCTTGGCTGTTTTTGTGGAGACAGCCTGGTACTATTCCACACCTTTCTGCCTCCCTTTCCTTCTCTGTACTCTCCATTTTCTCTTGTTTTCTCTATTGGTTGCAGCTGTGGATGCCTGCTTCCGTGATTGGCAGTTCTAGCAGCTGCCTGGGGTTGTGATCAAGCTGCTTGCTTATAAACAGGAAAGACTCTCCTCCGTCCTCTGTCTATGCTTAGTCTGGGGTTTGTACACCCCATTACAGGCCCTGATTTGGCTGGGGCCTCTGGGTGCTAAGATAATGCAAATAAATAACAAAATGGGTTTAGAGGGTCTCTTTCAAGGTTATGAAACCTCAAGCTGGCTCCTCTTGCAGGAACTCTCTCTCTCTCTTTTTTTTTTTTGGCCTTGGCTTCTGTCTGTAATTCCCCCTTCTCTTCCTTGGGCTAGAAGGAGAACAGGATCAGAAAGGGAATTAGCTGAAGTAAAGACTGCTTCCAGAAGGAAGGAGGCAAAGAAGTCTGAGGGGAGGAGTGTGGTCTTGTGCCTTTTACAATAGCTGTGGCTCAGGCACAAGTCTTTGCTTTTAAACTGGTGAATATTAAAAGTGGACAAGATATGTAAACAGCCACTGCAGTTATTTCCTAAGCATATGGAAAAACTGATATCTTAGATACCATGATGTAGTAACTGTTGAGAAATGCTGACCTTTTAATAGCAGTTACTGTAGGTAGTCACCTGACTGAAATTAAAGTTGTCAGGGGTTTCTGCATAAGCTTTCATGAGCAAGTGGTCTGTATATATTCCTCCTTGGCAGGAAAGAGATAAAAATGCATGAAAGAGTGGGGTGGTGAGCAACTGCTAAGGGACATGTTCCATATTTAAAATGTCTGGAAACTCAAACATTATATTCAAACAAGTGTGATCAAAAATATCAAACTGTAAATTGATTTTGTATCAAATTTCTATAAGAAAAACTTACTAAATTCTTGGAGCTCAACGATGAACCAAAACTGTTGACTACAATAGGAATTTTTGTTGTGCATGAAATATAAGATCAGGTTTGTTCTCTTTGAAGTAACCCTGCTGTATACATGAACTGTTATTTTGCTTGTCATGAGTATACATTTCAGATACATACATACATACAGTACAATTGACTGTAACACTTGCTGTGTTCACTGTATAATTAAGGACATGTTGGCAATAAATCTGTTTTTTCTTTATTTCCTCTTATTTTCTTAGAGGTTTACAACTGCTGAAGAAACTTGGTATTGGATTATTTAGATAAATACTTTTTTCCTTGCAAACAACACCCTCAATACATATACCCTTCCTTTTCTGATCTGTCAATGAGGTTTGAGAACGTTGGGAACTAGTCAGTGTTATGATATAGTCCTATCTTTCAGTACTCAAGGGACTGGGGGATTCGTCCTCTATGCTAAGTAAACTGTAATTTGTGATTCAGTAGTGCATTTTCCCCCAGGTACAAGCAGACACTTCAGATATCCAAAAGGGTGGATATAATTGGCAATATAGTAGGTAACCCTGTTAGAACCCTGTTTTATATATATATTATTAAACTAACCCTGTTATGCCTTTTGATGAAAATGGTGGCTCAGAGACAGAGGAAGAAGGGAATTTCCTGCTGGAGGTTAAATCAAGATGTAGTTGATTCTTATTCATATACTGATTTAAAAGTGTTTGCCAGTTGCCTTGAGCGCATTATGCTCAGCCTGCTATACTGGGTTCATTTAATTCTTCAGAAACAGTGCAGCTAACTTGAGATGACTTTTTGAGGTAACTGAATATGACTGAAGTCTCTTGCTGTTGCAAAAGCATTTGATGGTGCCTCTGGGGATTGTACTTTCAAAAAAAAAATAACAAATTTGGGTAAGTTAGTAACTTGAGTTTCTGTCTTTCAGATTGAAGAGTGTACACAGCATTAAATTAACCAATCAGCATGAAACTGGTCTGTTCTTACTTCAGCCAGTCAAACTTTTTCATTGTATGTCATCAACATTTTTACAATAGCTTACTCTTGAAAGTCAGGCTGAAGCCTGCTTTTTAGCAAGGTTAGGACAGCCACCACGATGTAGACCTTCAGTTTGTTTTTTAAAAAAGATGCTTTCATGGAATCTCAATGATATAAGAAAAATAAGGAGAGTCACAGTTCCTTTCCCATAGCTGGATGGATCAACATAATACATTTTTATTACCTAGATCGACCTAGGCACAACAAACCTCCCACCCCAAAAGCTAAAGTAGTGAACTGTGAGCTCAGGTCTGACGAAAAGAGTATTAATCCAGTTTTACTACTGTATTTCAGTACATGGTAAATCTTACCTAGCTGTATAATTTATATATTTATTTATAATTAACGATTTCCCCCAAGTGGTAGCAGTAACCTATGGAGTCCATTTTTAATTAAAAAACATGGCACTGAAGACCAAGAGAAATGGGGGCGAGTTCCATTTTTTATGCTCCTAGATAGGTGCTTCTATTTGTAGCCTGCTGTGAGAGAATGTTTTTGCATGGCAACAAGTATATTCATAACAGTTGTGCCCCATTGTCTAGCATGTCACAACCCAACCATGGGACTATAGTAATATATTTTATTCAAGACTGTATATATCAAGTAAAGAGTATTAATTTCTTAACTTAAAACTCTTACTATGACAAGATTAGACAGGCTGTTTTTTTGTTGTTGTTTCTACAGTTGTGTTAAACACCACAGGTAGGTAGAATTACCAAACAGGTAGGAATTCTATCACCATTCATGTGACTGAGTATTGTGATGCATACCCAGAACAATGGTGTTGATTCAGCCTTAATTTTGGAATTTCCCTGCTTGAGGGCTTAACTATGCAATTCTGATTTCTTTAAAACATTGTCATATTAAGTAGATGTATTCTGTATAGGGGAAAAGAGACAGATTACACTCTTATTCTTTCATATTAAAAAAGGAAAAAAATAGAGGGTAGTTTTATTTACAGACTAAACTATGCCCAGTCCAGTATTAGGAAAATGTATCTGTGCTAACCTGAAAATTTCCTTTCTTTCAGATCCACTACAGTGGGTACTTCAGCTTGCTAGCAGTTTGGGGCAGAACCAGACCTGTCAGTCACTGGAAGCAAGGGAATGCCCCACCTCCTGAAGTTTCCTTCGGTTGAGAACTTCCACAGCCAAGATAATCTATAATTTAGAAAAGTAGATTTGAATTATGTTCTATACTTTGAGGAAAAAGCACAATGATTTTTCCTACTACAGCACATGATAAATTCAACCTAACAACAACAAATCAAATTGGATGTAAACTCCTATCTCTATTCTGAATGATCCATTTGTCCCCAAAGTGGGCTGGATCTGTGGACCTTATTATTCAAAGAAAGGAAATTTTCAGGTAAGCATGGATACTTTTTCTTTATGCTAAGGTCCACAGATCCATTACAGTGGGATTTTCATAGCCTCCAGGATATGAAGTGAGATCTTCCTTTAAATGTGGACATTCAAAATTAGGTAGATTATAATCTGTATGTATATATCCTCCATCTTCCCCTGGGCACTAAGGCACGGAGAAGACATCTGCCAAAAGAAAGGAAATGTCATTGGCTAAGACTGGATGACTAATATCCAGAATTTTATGAACTTGTCTTGATGGCTATGGGGGTGTCTAGCAGATATCAATACAGGAGACATGCCTACTCTGCTCTGAGATTGTCATTGCTCCTAAGGACTGGACTTCGATGCTTACGCAAAGGAGAAATATTTCTTGAATTTCCTTAGGGAATGAATGCTATGACAGTTATCATAGAATATCAAGGTTGGAAGGGACCTCAGGAGATCATCTAGTCCAACCCCCTGCTCAAAGCAGGACCAATTCCCAGACAGATTTTTGCCCCAGATCCCTAAGTGGCCCCCTCAAGGATTGAACTCACAACCCTGGGTTTAGTAGGCCAATGCTCAAACCACTGAGCTATCCCTCCCCCTAAGGACTGTCTGTCTGAATTCAAAGTATAATAGTGGCTCTCGCTAGAGAAAGCTTCCACCTTCCAGGAACTCATCTGATTGGAGATATTAGCCATCTTCTATTGGATAGGAAGTATAAAGCAGGGGTTCCATCTGCATAGTGCTGTAAGAAGCAGAATGAGGTTCCAAGGTTATGCTCTGTGATCCTGCAGGGTTGGAATAAGGGTTGTTTTCCTAAGGAAATATTTAATGTTGGGATGTGTACAAAACATCCTTTTCTTGAACATGCTCAGAACATCATATTGCTTGACCTTTTTGCTTGGACACTACTATGCACACATAATGAAGCCTTCCTGTTGGAGCTCAAGGCTATACTGTATTTCACCCATTTAACATGATAGTTAAACTATGGACTTTGCACCAGCCAATAGAATAAATTCTATTTGATGACTTCTCTTTTGGGGTCCATGAGAGTAATAATCACTTCTTCCAAATGTTCCCTTTAAATCTGTCTGATCCCTGATGGTGGATTGGGTTTGCAGTAGCAGACCTCCTCTGGGAGACAGAAACAGCTGAAGAGCCAGTGCTAAGTTAATCAAATTTGAGATCCGTAGTCACTTCAGCCAGAAAGGCATAAATGGTTTCACTGCTGTTCTCTCATTGCTATCTTTTGTATTGTCAGTGGAAAAGGTGGGAAGACATATAGCAGGGACCACACCAAGCTTTGCTAGTGGTCATTCACCACCTCACATACCATATGGCACATAGACATTTTTATTGTTTTCAGATGCAAAAGGTTGATCAGCAGCCCACCACACTGACTTACTATACATGAGATATTTCTGGGTGTAGGAGCCACTCTGCTAATCTTAGGCCTGGTCTACACTAGGCGTTTATGTCGAATTTAGCACCGTTAAATCGAATTAACCCTGCACCCGTCCACACCACGAGGCTATTTAGTTCGACATAGAGCTCTCTTTAAATCGATTTCTGTAATCCTCCCCAACGAGAGGAGTAGCGCTAAATTCGACATGGCCATATCGAATTAGGCTAGGTGTGGATGGAAATCGACGCTAATAGCTCCGGGAGCTATCCCACAGTGCACCACTCTGTTGACGCTCTGGACAGCAGTCCGAGCTCGGATGCTCTGACCAGCCACACCCCAGGAAAATTTGAATTCCTTTTCCTGTCTGGGCAGTTTGAATCGCAGTTTCTGTTTGGACACCGTGGC